CTACCTGGAGGAGACCTGCATCGCGTGGCTGCGGCAGTACGTGCAGCACGGGGAGGCAGCGCTGCAGAGCAGTGAGTCCCGGTGTCACCGCCCAGGGCAGCGCTGACCAGGGCGCCCTCGTCCCCAACCCCGGGAACACCATCCCCATCCCCATGTGCCCAGGGTGGCAAGCGCTGCATCTCGGTCCTGCTGCTGGGCAAGGCCCCAGCGCTGCTGTGGGACACAGTGGCCCTGTCCCTGCCCTGCTCAGGCCTCCCGGCTGGGCCGAGCCCACGGGGGGGCCGTGTCCCATCCATATCTCTGAGAAGCAGAGATCAGCTGTATGGGACCCCGTTCCTGCAGCCCCGAGCCCAGCACAGCCGTGTCTCCCATCCCTGTGCTCCTGCCCTGGCGCCGTCTGCCCCTGCCTGAAGTGGCGGCTGGAGCCGGCTTCGTACGGCGCAGTGCAGGGCCCGCGTGGCCTCCTGGCAGGGGTCTCTGGCCCAAGGGTCGTGGAGGGGCTGTCGCTGTAACGGGTGTCTCCTCCCTCCCAGAGCGCCCCATGGCACAGGTGAGCGACCGGCCGTCATCCTGGGATGGACGCACCGCCCTGTCCTGCCGGGTCCATGGCTTCTACCCCAAGGACGTGGCTGTCATCTGGCTGCAGAACGGGGAGGCGCAGCCCCAGGAGACGAGCCGCCCGGGGGGCCTTCCCAGCGGAGACGGGACCTACCGGACCTGGGCCACCATCGAGATCGACCCGAGCAGCAACCACAGCTACACCTGCAGCGCGGAGCACGTGAGCCTGGGTGCAGCCCTGAGAGTGGCCTGGGACAAGGGCAGGACGGGTGAGTGACCCCCGCACCGGGAGGGAGAAGAAACCTGGTGCTCGGGGCTCGAAGCAGGGAAGTAACGGGGGTCGGAGGATGCAGGGGGCACCGACAGGGAGGGGGCATTTGGCCGATGCAGTGTTGGGGGCAGGTCTGGGGGTTCCCCTCTCTCACAGCCCCTTCCCTCTTCCAGAGTCCGACCCAGCGATGATTGTAGGCATCGTTATCGGTGCTGTGCTGGTCACTGCCATGGCTGGCGCAGCGGTTTTCTTCCTCAGTAAGTGCTGGGCGAAGCGCTTGGGGCCAGCCATGGCCAGACCTTGGGGTTGGGGAGCAGGGAGGGCTACAGCTACAGCAACAGCTACTCCGACTCCTGCGTCCAAGGTAAGTGTGAGGGGCTCTGGCCTGAGGGCTCCCCCAAAGGAGACGCCTTCCCTCTCTGAGCCAGCCCCGGGGCCCCTGAGCAGCTGAGCAGAGCCCGGTGGAGCGTGCACCTCGTCCTCGGGACCCTGCGCAGGAGGAGAGGGAGCAGCACAGCAACGTGCTGCAGCCCATTTCCAACTCAGAAGCACCTTTGTTTTTGCCTTGAGTTTGCCAGACAAAGCGCCTTGCTCCGGGACAGCAACTAGCCCACGGGTGTTATTGAAACCACTTGTGTCTGTGAGCTAGAAGCACTGAGCGCAGAGCAGTGCGTCAGTGCTGTATTGCGGGAAGTGGCTGGGCAGTGGTTGTGACGGGTGGGATTTGGGGGTGACTTGTACGTGAGCGGCTACTTGCCGATCCTGGACCACAGTTTAGTATTGTGTGTTGCCAACGGGAGGCAGAGCTGCGATGCCCTCGGAGCTGATTGTGACCGCTGCGGTGACCGGGCTGCGCTGAGTCGGGCAGCGTGTGGGTCGTGCCCTCCAGGCCCCCTTGCTCGCTCCGTCCCGGGGCTGATTGTGCAGTACAGCTCCCAGCCCCGTCTGCGCGGACTGAGCTGCTGTTCAACTTCTCCCGTTGCTTTTTGGTGCCCTGGTTGGCCCAGGGCGCAGCGTGCCCGCTCCCCGTAGTCTGGGGCATGGCTTGCAGCACAAAACCTCAGGGAAACGGGGGGCCTTCACCATCCCCTCCCCGCAGGTCCCGGGACTCTGGCCGTGATTCTGATGAGCAGAGTCTTCTTCTCCATCTTTTTTTTTCCCTGAGGAGAGCTTTAGCCCCAGGCAGGTTCGGGAGCTGTTCCTTGGGTCCTTCCAGCCCCACTTCTCAGCTCAGGGGCGGGCGGTTATTTCTGTTGGAGAACTGTTCTACTAGAAATTTTTAATTTGATGAACGTTTAATTTTATTATTCGTTATGTTGTGTACAATACCAACAAGAATCAAATAAAAACTTTTGCTTATGTATGTGGGGGTGGGGTTTGTGTGGGGGGGCGGTAATAGGGTATGTTGGGGGTTGCGATGAGGCTGAAGTTGGTTCCTTGGCCAAGCCTGTGGCTGTCCCGTGCTGCAGTCCCTCCGGCTGCTCCATCTCCTGTGTCTTGTTCCCACAGGAGATGGGATGAGGCTGAAGTTGGTTCCTTCTTTATTCCGAGTTTCTTCTTCCTTATTCCCGGTTCCTTTTTCTAGACTAGACCCAATAAAAACTTGTTCTCAATGAATTGCTCATCCTACAGCGAGAGAATTTAATTAGCTATGCATATGTACTAATTAATATGTAGAATAATATTCCGCATCAAGTACAGAGCCCTAAATGAAGGTGAGATTAGGATGGGATTATGGGACAAAATGCTCCTTCGGCTACCCCAGATTTCATGGCGATGCCCCTGGGGAGCTGTCCCAAAGACCCCTGACCACCGTGCCGCCCGGCCCAAAGCACGGTTTGGCCGTGCCAGGCTGCCAGATAACAGCCCCCATGGCCACTGTGCTAAGTATAATGGCTTGACTAAGGAACTGGCTTTCAGGCTGGGTTCGTGGCTAGAAATTGTGCTTGGGCCGCCCATCGTAATACCTCTGCGTGCCCGGGGGACTGTCCTGGCCATCTGTGACCAGAGACTTCTCCGGCCCAAACTCCGGTTTGGCCGTGCCAGGCTGACAACACGCCGCACCCCAGCCGCTGTGCTGAATACAGGGAACTGAATAAGGAACTGGATTGTGGACTGGGATTATACCAAGAAATCCTTCCTGGGCCACCCCAGACCACATCTCTGTACAACCAGGGGACACTTCTGGACATCTCTGACCAGAGATTTCCCGGCCCAAGGCGCACTTTGGCCAACTAACAGTACCCTAGCCGCTGTGCTAAGTACCTGGAACCGAATAAGGAACTGGATTATAGGCTGGGATTATACCCTAAATCCTTGGGCCACCCCAGACAACACATCCTTGGCACCGGGGGACTCTCCTGGACATCTCTGACCAGAGACTTGCCCGGCTCAAAACGTGGTTTGGCCATGCCAGGGCGTGAAAAAACCCTAAAGTCCCACTTTCATTCTGTGGAGCAAAACCAAACTTACTAAACCATGACCTTTTTCACAAAGTTATTATCTTTTTTTTTTTTCTGGCTAACCCCACTGGAGATGACCAAAGTCA